GTTATGAGGTGTGGTTCAGAGGAGGAGGATGGGAGAAAATGTGGGTCCTGTGACATTGATGGTTCAGGACCAGAAGTTTCATCCTCTTCTTCGTCTGACTCAAGTAAGAATGATTCTGGTGCATCAGGAACCAGTAGTCCTTCTCCGTGGGGTACTAGGCGTATAGCTGATGGAATGTTTGGATAATTCACAGTCCACTTTTTCTTCTTTGACACATCTTTCCCAACTGGAGGCACCATGCAGAAGTAACAATTGCTGGTATGATCTGTTGGTTCTCTCCAAATCATTGGCACTGCAAAAGCCATAGATTTCCTTTTCCTGTTCAACCACTGGCGAAGATTTGTTGCAAAGTGTTGCAGCGTATGTGTGGGGCCCACCTCTTGTCCTGATCTCCAATTTTGCAGCCAAAATAAAGGTGATAGGCTCTCTTAACCATAGTGGTTATACTGCGCTTTTGTGATGCAAAAGTCACTTCACCACAAACACAGCAGAAGTTATCTGCACTGTTCACACAAGTACGAGGCATCTCTGCTCACTTTGGCTAACAAATGTGTTCCTTTGCAAAATCAAACACTGACAAATAAGAGAGCACGACACTGTATGATTTCTAGAGCTGATATAGGGCAATTTGTTCAGCAGAGTGATGTAAGCTTCGTTATGATTGCATCATCCATAAGTTCTAGGAATAACATGATGCAATTCATATCATGTATGACGCAATACCAGCTTCAGATTGCATCATTCATTGTTTTGCCTAAAAAGCAAGTACTGTCCAAACCCAGTCAGATTTATTCATAGATCCAGTCAAAGATGTATTTTAGTCATTTCTGGTTTAAATTGAGATCCCTTCCCTTTATAATTCACTTATCCTCTGCCATTCGCAAGTCAAGGGTCGTATATACTGACCCAATAGCATATCTTGAAAACTAGAGCCAATCAACAATTTTAAGCATCATTTTCATTCTCAGGGACCCAGAATTAGTAACGTTTGGCTAAATTTATTTCAGAAGCATTTTGGCTGTAGAGCAGTGTCGATGGAAATTCCATTGACTAGTAAATTACCTGATACATAACATCCTAGAAAGTGCAATAGATAAGAAATTCACATCATCTCTCTCAAATAAGAGATGGCACAAGCAATATCACTGAAGGCACATCAAAAGCAGACTCAAATGTAGAACTGCTACAAAAGGTGAGAGAACCTAACAGCAGTAGTTTCTCATTTTAAAGTTATCTTTAAAAGTTTATATTGTCTCTACAAATAGTTCTGTCAACTTTGTCAAACTTGTACTGTATGGTAGATTATGACAGGATGTTTTGCTGCAGGGTTTTGTGTTTAAATTAATGAAACAAAACAGAGTCAAACTTACTTCCCAAGTCCAATGAAAGGAAACACAGCCGCATAATAACAAACACAGATTATAAATATGAGCCACAAAGACAACGAGAAGTCTTTCACATCAGTTAACTTAATCACTTCACCTTCAGAAAGAAAGAAATGCCGGGATCAATTCAAGTTTTCTATAGTTTATATTTAATATTTTAATGCTGAAAAATAAATAATGCATTGCAGAACTGGAGTGTAGGGATGTAAAAATCCTCTTTAATTGGTTAACCAGTTAAACATATTGATTGAAATTAAGGGAGAGCATGAGCAGGCAGGGTTCACTCCAGGCTGGCTGGAGTTGCCCCACTGCTGGGGTGGAAAAGCCCCTGCCTATGGCAGACCAGGGTACCTCACAGGCAGGGGCTGGTCCGGCATGTGGGGCGACTGGGCCCACCATGGAAAGAGGCTGCTTTGACCAGGATGCCCCAGAGGCAGCAGTTGCTCCAACCCTCACCAGTTAACGTTTCACATCCTAAGTGAGCGTTCATGTAGTTAGATTGTGTACGATATATACGGTCACTCAGTTATAAATATGTGCAAGAGGGAGCTTGTGGCAAGTTTAAACTAGCAATTTCATTGAGTCAGACTGATTAGCACAGCCAAGTGGAACATCTTAACTGACTTCATTTCAATTAATATTGATATTTTGCTGCAACCCCAAACTATGGAGAAAAAGTGATTAAATGTAGGAACAGAGCAAAAAAAGTCAGTTTCTAGCATGCCTCATATTTATGTAGCCAACACATCACTGCAGATTGTTGGAGGAAGATGCATACTTTAGCAACCATATAGAAGAAGGGGAATCTTCACACTTTGATAATAGAAGACAGCTAGAAGCAGGGTTTGTTTTATCCAAGATTTTGCAGCAAGGAGAAGGTGAGTAGTGGTAAAATCAGAGCACCTGAAGCCATTTTTATTGACTAATAGACCCCTTTAAATTCCAGTTATTTTGTTCTAGAGTGAAGGGTGATGTATATATAACCTGGAATCCTACAGTAACCGATAATATCGTAGGTTAACATATTATGCTAATTCTTTATCACTCACCAGTTTTCCCTTGCTCTTTACGAAGGATTTTTTCTGCTCTCTTGTCCAGATAAGCAAGAATTAGTGCACAGATGAGTGAAAAGATACATGTGACTCCACCTGTAAGAAGAAGAGGTGGACAGTAGTAACTTTAGAGACCAAGCTCTTCAAAACATACATATTTTACCCTACATTTCTAAACAGACCAGAACAATTGCAAAGTTCACGATGAACAACATCAGTTGCTGTCATTATAAAAAACTAGTGGACTAATTCAAAGTCTTTGAAGTACAAAGATATTTCTGCTATCTAAACTCTACCCAATATGGACACCATCTTAAAATCTTAAGCATCAGGGGGTAGCCGAGTTAGTCTGTACAGGATAAACTTAAACAAATGGTCTGGTAGCACTTCGTAGACTAACAAATGATACCATCTACATGTTTTGTTAGTCTACAAAGTGCTACCAGACCATTTGTTGTTTAAGTTTAAAAGTCTTAAGTTCACAAATGTTTCAAGTACAGTTGTGCCTGTATTACAGATAACTACACTTATCTAGAAATACAGTGACCTCATTACACCCACAGATCTGCAGTTTCAGAAAGATACATGCAATTTGTGAGCAATTCTGCACCAGAAATTTTACTTGGAATATGTGAGCAATTCTGCACCAGAAATTTTACTTGGAATATCAGAAGCAAAACTCAAGCTCAGATGCAAGCAGGAATAGCGTCCTAATATCCATGGTTTGGTTTTGTAGAGGGTGAAGGCTTTGTCCCAAGTGGGACTGATATTCTCTCTCCAGAGAACAGAGGAACAAACGGGAACACAAGAATTTTGATATACTGACTTTTTGATGGACAAGAGATGTACATCAAGTCAATGGAATGATACACATACACACTTCATCCCCCAGCACATAAGCGACAAGAAAATCATTACATATGCCAATGATTTTAGTTGCTAGCTGGACACATACAAGACACCAGTAATTGTCAATTAAGTGGGATAACTACTCAGATGTTGACTTTGCTTAAAGTTTGAACTTAGCAGCAAAGCATGTCTTAATAGCCAGCAATATCTCAGACTGATCTATAGTTGATTTTCAGTAATACCAAGCAATTTTTCAACTGGAGAGGCTATAACCACCACTCATTTTAGCTTTTAGTTCATGCATATTCTTTAAAATGTTCAGTGTTGCTTATGTCATTTAGCATTCAGGATTTTCATGTTTAACTGAGGACTTTAAAAAAAATATTTACTAACCGATCATGAGTGTTAACCCAAGTGTTCTGTGACCTGTGGAGCCCAGCAGACCTTGAACTCTGGAGTATATCCATCCCATGATATTCATATTCACAGTGCTCCCCTAGAAAGAAAGGATTGGCATGAATATTGCGGTTTACTCTTCTATTATAGTTTTAAAGGATCAGCTAAAATGAACGGTTTAAATTTCTCCAATTGCCCAAGAAATGTAATCTAAAAATGAGAGAACAAAGTAAGCTTGATTTATGCATCTCAAGGCATGAAAATAAAATAGCAACTAGCATAAGAATTGAATAGATTCAAGATTACAAAGATAAGAATCCAGTCACAAATTAGATGTTTTGCAGCATATTACCCTGAATTCTACACACTATGTTAAAGGTATGCTTTGTTCAACCATATTTAAAACCAAGTAGAGCAGACTTCAGGAGGAGATGTCTAACCAGAGCAGAAGATACAGTCCTCCATCAGGGGAAAGCTGGGGGGCAGAGGAAGCAAAAAAGGAATCAATCCAATTCTTATTTCCTAACCCAAACAGAATGAATAGCAGAAGCATGGTTGAATGTCAGGTCAGATATTTATATGAAGTTGATAAAATACTAGATTGATAAAATACTAGTGCAAATAAAAAAATAGTTATAGGGTTTTATACTTACAATTCGGGCCATGCTAAGCTGTAATCCAAACACAAGGTTTAATTCCTTGCCTTTAAACCAACTGACAGCATAGGCATTTTGTGCTACTGCTAAGGATTCCCCACCAATTCTAAATAGGAGAAAGAGAAATATACTTAAGATTTACCACCAGCTGGGATTGAACAAAGAAAATAAGTTAAACCAGTGAGCAAAGGCACCTCCACGGCCGAATTTGGCCCACCAGTGGATCCGGCCCACAGCAGCCCTGCTGCTCCCCTACCCTGAGGCCAACTGAGATCTGGGGACAGGGGAGGGAGGAGGAGGAGGAAGCATACAAAGTCTCCTCTTCCTCCCCCCCAAGATGCCTGATGGCTGGAAGCAACCACCAGCTGTTTTAAAACAGCTGACAGTTCTCGGGGGGGATAGGGGGGACTTCCCAGGCCAATTAGAGTCTGTGGGTGGGGGAGCAGAGAAATCTCCAGGTCCCGCCCCTTCCACCCAAGGCCTTGCACCTTCTGGGGCACTTCAGAAATTGGTAGAGTGACCCCCCTTTTACAAATTATTGCCCATGCCTGCATTAAACTGACTTCAGTTTGCATAGATTTGAGTAGGTAGTTTCTATTATGATTCCAGTGAAACATGTAAGACTATAGGAAAAATTAGGAAAAAATGGATTGCAATTGCCTTGGCTTGCATAAAGAGGGCAATATGAAGAAAGCAGATGCAAAACAATAAAATAAATGCGATAGCTAGGAAGGGGCTGCAGAGACAGAATAGTGTAAGAACCAAGGGGAGAAGACTAAAATTAACAGAGCCAGGATTTCACAAAACTAAAACATGTTTCTTAGTGCTTATTCATAATGGGTCACAGATTGTGCAACTTTCATATTGTCAATCACAGCTTAATAAAGATTATCTTATAACCCACTTCTTATTTGTGATCAAACAATATCGCTGAGGGAAAGCTACAGCAACTGTGTTTACATGTTAAATTGCATTATATACTAAAACCCATTACTTTTACAATGCGAAACCAGGAGCACCAGCACCATGGTGTGATTCTGTTGTTTATAAACAACAATCTGGTCTGCTGGTTGTGTGTTTTTCCATTACAGGCAGTCCCCGACTTATGTCGGATCCGCAGTTACGAACGGGGCTGCCCCAGAGTACACGGACTGCGGGACCTCACGGTCCTGCCGCCCGTGTACTCTGGGGCTTTCTCTGTGTCTCCCTGGTCTGCAGACCAGGAAGACGCAGAGCAATGCCGCGGAGGGGCTCCGGCAGCCCAGGGGC